CTATACGGCCGATCCCGGAAACCCCGAACCCGCAAAGAGGGCGCATGCTTTACGTCCGCCGGCTCCCGCCACCAGGGGCGGCCTCGCCTCCCTTCCGCCGCCCTCTGGCCGAGGAAGAGACGCCGACTCCTCCGACCCTCGAGGGCGAAGCCCTCTCGGGAACGCCCCGATGCGTGTGTGTGTGTGTGTGTGTGTGTGTGTGTGTGTGTGTGTGTGTGTGTGTGTGTAGGGGAACGAAGGGCGACAGCAACATAGAAGCTCGGAGGTCCGCGCGGGTTGCTCGCATCGGCGCTTGAGACCCCCCGTGGCGGCGCCTCCGGCGCCGCCCCTGGCGCGCTCCGCGCGCCAGGGAGCGGGGTCCAGCGCGGATCCGAGAAATCCGCGCGGACCTCCGAGTTTTTTGGGGTCCACAGTCAACCAGTATAGCAAGGATGCGCGATACGGATGCAAGGGCCTTGGACGCCCCTTTCGAAGCTTCTCCAGCGGGGCGCGGCCGACGACAGCGGCGAAGCATGAACCGAGGAGGCAAGGATGCAAGGGTGCCCTTGGGAAGGTTGCCCATCCTTACTGTGCGGGTTGACTGTATGTCGTCCTTCGTTCCCCGAATGTGTCTTGGTCCGCGTGGGACGTACCTCCGCTGGGCCTCCCAGGAGCTTACGAAAGTGGCTACACTTGCGCAGATCGCAGGCCCCCCAGGGGGCGGCGAGGCCCCGAGGTGGTCCGCGTGGGACGTACCTCCGCTGGGCCTCCCAGGAGCCCACGAAAATGGCGACACTTGCACAGATCGCAAGCCCCCCAGGGGGCGGCGACCGCCTCGATCGCACCGACGCCAGGCAGGAGGCCCGGCGGCGGCCCCCCGCAGCCCCCCCGTGCGCGGGGCGCGCGGCGCGCCCCCCCTCGGGAGAGGCACGGTGGCCCCTCGCCGGGGCGCTGCCGCGCGGGGCGGCGCGCCCCCCGTTGGGCTGGGCAGGGGTCCACCGGTCCCCGTCCCCGCGGGTGTGGCCTGGGCCCCGGTGGCCGCTGTGACCCCCTGGATTAGGATGGTTGAATGGGCTGCTCCCCTCGGGTCCCGAAGTGGCATATATTTATATATATATATATATATGTATAGTCATACCTATATAAATAAAATAAGTATGTACGTGTATGTCTATCAAATGTTCGCCCCCTTCAATATCATACCTTTCGCTTGTGCGCGATGCCGTGCGTGTCCGTTTGTGCATATCCTGCTCCTGCTGCGCTGTTGCCGCTGCTGCTCCTTTCGCCCATGAGGAAGAGGATGATACAAAAAGGAGTCGGAGTGGGATTCTTGGGCAACTGGTGATTCCCTTGCTCGAGAGAGCGGGGGCTCGTCTCGCGTGCCTTGCGAGCTCGGTAGCTGCTGGCGGCGTTCTCGGCACAGAAGGGGGTCAGCCCACGGCCCCCCCTGGCTTGGTTAAGCCCTGTGGGTCCGCTGCAGCTCGGTGCCGAGCCCCTTTCAAAACAACAACGTTAGGGCACGGTGGAGTCTTGTGGCACAGTGGCTTCATAGGAAAGGATCGTATCCCATGCCCACAGGATTCATACTGGAATTGAATCGGATGCTGAAAAGCATGTCAATGGGAACTGGGAAGGATCCCAAATCCAGGGGATCAATCGTGAATCTGGATGGGCTCCCAAGCGAACTTCAATAGAAATGGAACAGATGCGATATCCGAAGGACTCCTGCAAGGTTTGAACAGTATCCTATGGCATTTCAATAGAGACGGTGCAGATTCTAGACCCAGAGAACCCCCAGTGGATTGACAAGGTTTAATCGGATTTCAATCGAAGTGGGGACGATCCCAGATCCGAAACAATCCCACTGAACTTGGATCCGAGTTTGATCGGATGTCACAAGCAATCTTCGAATTCAGGTGAGATGTCTTATCCGTTGCCACTGGAGATGGAGCAGATCACAGATCCAGAAGACTGTTGTTGAATCTGAATGGGCTTCCAAGAAACATCCAATACAAACGGAACATGTCCCGTCCCGCACCCAAAGGATTTCTACAGTACAGAATTTGGACAAACATCTATCGGATGTTAGCAGATCCAGGAGTGCTCCTATTGGGCTGGGGCAAGATTCCAATCGGAGTTCAATATGAACGAAGCAGACCCCAAACCCACATAATCCCCATTGAAATTGAATCGACTTCTGATGTGATCCCAGTCGGAAAAGGGCAGATCCCAGATCCAGAGGATTCGTTTTGAATGTTTGGGTGGGATTCTGCTTGGATTCCGACATGAAAATACCAGAACCCATAGCCAGGGGAGGGGGGGGGAAGAGCAGGAGGAGGCGGAGGCGGAGGAGGGCGAGAGCAGGAGCAGGCACGAGGCGCGGTGTCTCCACCGTTACCAGATTGTCGCAAATCAAGGATCCCAGGGACACACAAATAAATATACACAAATAACAAGGTTCTCCATACTTTTCCATATTTTCTGGGTTTTTGTCTTTCTGTGTTTTTTGTCTTCCCCCCCCCACTTCCAATCTTTTCCCATATTTTCAAAGGGATCGGCGCTTAATTGTGTCTGTGTGTTTTTCTCCTCCTGACCAAAGTCTGACCGTTGAAAGGCGGTGTGATTTCTGGCGTTGTCCAGCTTCTCCCAAGGGCGTACACTTGAAAAGCGCTGCGGCGCTTACGTCTTACGTCTCAACCTTTTTTTCAGATGTTCCCGGAGACGGACCGTTGAAACAACGCTGTGTTTTCTAACTTCTCCAGCGTCTCCAGGTCTTTCCAGAGACTACGCAGCAGGGTAGTGTTTGGAAAGACCTGAAGCTTGAAACCACATAGTGTTCAACGGTCGGCCCGTGGGACAGGCAGGATGCGTTGGGAAAACTAGAAGGCATGTGTGCAAACAGCCGGTCTTTTGGAAAAGCTGGGTGAGAGATACAGAACGACAAAAAAAAACAACCCGAGTGATATTGCGAGACAGGGGGGGCTACGCTTGTTGTTTGGAGGGTGTCTTTGAGAGAGAAAGAGAGCGATACAGAAGAAACGGTATGTACCCTCGTCACAGGTGCATGCGCGCGACAGAAAAACAAATGGTTCGCAGCGTATTGAAGGCAACAGAACACCGAAAGAGGTGGAGAGAGTGGGACAGAGAGAGAGATATTGCATATGCAAGGGACTCCTCGAGATGGGGAGAGGCTTCAAGTTAACACAGAGAGAGCTGGAGAGGTCATCTTTCCTCCTCCTCCTCCTCCTCCTCCTCCCCCTCCTTCGCATCTGTAAAAAAGACAGAAAGCGAGAAAGAGAGAGAGAGAGAGAGAGTGAGAGATAACGAAACAAACAGAGACGACCAGAAGAGCTAAGGCAGAGATGGAGGGAGGCGTTACTTTCTGACAGAGGAGAACTCCAGAGCTACTGGAAAATCCTCTTCGATTCCCGAATACCACCAATTGCTACTATACACTCTTTTGGTTTTTCCGTACCTAGGCTCTGCCTAGAAGGGTTCTTACTCTCTTAGCTTAAAGGGGGCCGGGCAGTGTAAAGCGCCCCGGGCGGTTCTCCCAGTCCCCGCCCCGCGGTTCCCCCCAGTCCCCTGGGAGCTTTAGCTTTAGCTTTAGCTTTAGCTTAGCTTTAGCTTAGCTTTAGCTTAGCTGCAGCTTAGCTTTAGCTTAGCGTTTCGCTTGGCGTTTCGCTTAGCTTTTCGCTTAGCGTTTAGCTTAGCTTTAGCTTAGCTTTAGCTTAAGCTTAGTTTTAGCTTAGCTGTAGCTTAGCTTTAGTTTAGCGTTAGCTTAGCTTTAGCTTAGCTTTATATTAGCTTTGGCTTAGCTTTAGTTTTAGCTTTAGCTTAGCTTTAGCTTAGCTTTAGTTCAGTTTTAGCTTAGCTTTAGCTTAGCTTTAGCTTGGCTTTAGCTTAGAGTTAGCCTCGCTTTAACTTAGCTTTAGCTTAGCTTTAGCTTATGCTTAGCTTAGCGTTAGCTTAGCGTTAGCCTAGCTTTAGCTTATGATTTAGCTTAGCTTTAGCTTAGCTTAGCTTTAGCTTAGCTTTAGCTTAGATTTAGCTTAGCGTTAGCTTAGCTTTAGCTTAGCTTAGCTTTAGCTTAGCTTTAGCTTAGCTTTAGCTTAGCTTTAGCTCCGATTTAGCTTCGCTTTAGCTTAGCTTAGCTTGTCTTTAGCTTAGCTTTAGCTTAGCTTTAGCTTAGCCTTAGCTTAGCTTTAGCTTAGCTTTACTGTTACTACGAATGCTGCTTTCCTAGGGGCTCCAACTCCTAGGTAGGGTCGCACTGGGATAATTTTTGGGGTCTGGGATACCACCAAACCCTTCTATACATGTTTGTTTGTTGTTTTGGGTGTTTGTAAGAGTTCCACAAACTTGGCCCGGAAGGCTTTGCGCCAAAAACATGCCCGACAAACCCTATTCTACACAGTTTGTTGATTGTCTATTTGGTCTGGAGTGTCACCAAACCCTGCTAAACACATCTATGTGGTTTCCAAGAGGTCCGCGCATGTTGGCCAGGCCAAATTTGCGGGACCCCTGAGAAACAACAAAACAAACCTGTATAGTAGGGATGAATGGTATCCCAGACAGAATAAACACCTGCCCAGAGTGGGGTTGTGTTGCAATCAGTGTCCGGATGGTCCGGAATACGGAAAAAAACAGTAGGAGGAGGAGCCGAATCAGAGAACCAGCAGAGAGATGTATGATACTGTGGGGCGGCCATATCACATGTGTGTGTGTGTGCGTGCGTGCGTGTCTATGTGCGTGCGTATCCCGAACTAGGGCGATGGGATGGTGGGGATCCGGTTCGCGATGGGGACCCAGAACCCCGACGTTATCAATGTTTTATAAAAACGACGTGGGCCTCCAGCGGTCCAGACCCACTCCCCGAGACCGGTTTTTCGTCCCGAGCGGTTTTCTGACGGCCCCCAGGGCCGGCAAGGGCCCCTCAGAGGCCTACGCCACCATGTCTTCATGACCCGAGATGTCTAGGGATGGGGGCACGCAGCAGTTAGACACGACGGCCCCGCGGCGGTCCTGAGACGTCCCCGTCCGCCTCCTCGCCCGCCGCGAGGCCTGCTCCATGGCATCCTCGGCAAACTGGCGCGCCTGGTGCGAGAGCCGGGGCCGAGCTCGCGCCCACCGCCCGGGGGGGCCCGCGTCTTCCTGTGGCCCCAGGGGTCGGCGGATCTACTTCGGTTGACCCGCAAGGGGGTCCAGCTGAAAGGGGGTGGTGCACTAGGTTTGGGCCAAGCGTGTTGCAAATGTACTGGGCCAGAGAACTGTGTTGCGTTGACTGCGCCGCGGAACGCACTACACGCCCCGAAGCTATCGCAACCCACGTATTTATTGCGCCGAATCTATCGCAACCCGCACACCTATTGCACCGAATCTACTGCACCACCCCCTTGTCGCCGGACCCCATTTTGGGCCAACCAGATTTACACATCGTGCCACCATAATCGGGGATGGACAGACCTCCCTTTAGCAAAACGCGGTTTAGTGAAAACGGCCTGAGGCCCAAACCTGGCGGGCGCAAGCCTGGAAAATGACAGCCGCGGCGCCCTCTCGAGAACCGAAAACGGACAATCCACTAATCAACGTGCCAGGGTAGGAGGTCTGTCCACCCCCGACCCAACTGGGGTGGTGGGATGGTGGGAATCGGGCTGGGATGGGAATGGGGATGGGGATGGGCTTAAACGTTACAGTCGGAGCGTTGACCCAAGGAACCCTAAATAAGGAACGAGGCCCCTTTCATCCACAAGTTAAACTTCGATTTCCCATCGAAAACCAAGGGAAAACCAAAGGCAAATTGTGAAGCAATCAAGGAGCACGGAGCCCCTCCCCAACTAAAAGGGTTCCTTCTTCAGGGCCCCGACTGTACTGAGATTTATACTCATCCTGGCCCCGTCTGACTGCCACCGCCCCTCGAGGTTGGCCCCAGGAAGACCCGGCCTCCCAGGGCGGAGGGGGCGCGTGCACGTCCCGGCCCTCAGGCCTTCGCCTCCCCCTCCCTCCGCAGCTCCTCTCGGGGGGAGGCGGCGGGGGGGAGGAGGAGGGGGAGGAGGAGGAGGAGGAGGAGGAGGAGGAGGAGGAGGAGGAGGAGGAGGAGGATCGAGGAGGAGGAGGAGGAGGAGGAGGAGAGGAGGAGGAGGAGGAGAAGGAGGAGGAGGAGGGAGGAGGAGGAGGAGGAGGGGGAGGAGGAGGAGGAGGAGGAGGAGGAGGAGGAGGAGGAGGAGGAGGAGGAGGCGGGAGGAGGAGGAGGCGGAGGAGGAGGAGGAGGAGGAGGAGGAGGAGGAGGAGGAGGAGGAGGGAGGAGGAGGAGGCGGAGGAGGAGAAGGACGAGGAGGAGGAGGAGGAGGAGGAGGCGGAGGCGGCCGGCCGCGGCCGGCAGCCGGCCGCGGCCTAAGACCGCCAGGGAAAGCTTAAGAAACTTCTCAGAAGGCCGGCGGGACTTCCGAGACTTCTGAGAAGGCCTGGGGGCCCTCACTGGGCCTCGGGGCCACCAAAACACGACTCGGGATGAAAAACCAGTCCCAGGGAATGGGTCGAGACTTCTTGGGTCGACGTCATGAACCAATCATGACGTCGGCGGTCTGGGACCACGGAACGGTGCCTATGCACCGTAATTGCCACGTCTGGACTCCCTTGAGGCCCCGCTCCAGCGCGATGCGATGCACACTTCTTCGGCTCTGGGGGCCGATGAACTGTGGACCGTACGACTCCAAGGTCGAGGGCCGACCACGCCTCGTGGGACGCCAACGCGGCACGGTGCATACGTACGTGGACCCGTTCCATGGGCGCCTGCGTGGACACCGGCGCTTGCACAGGAGAGACGCGAAGAACGGCGAGGGTGAGGAGGAACAGGAGGGGCGAGGGGGGGGGGCGAGAAGAAGAGGGTGAGGAGGAACAGGAGGGGCGAGGGGTGGGGCGAGAAGAAGGGCCATATCCGCTGGAAAGCCGACCACCGCGTCGCCGTCCAAGGCTCCTGTTCACAGGCATCGAGCACAAGCCGCCCGCGGAGAGGAGGGGGTGGGGAAAGGCCCAACCCCAGAGGGTCCTCCGCCCCGCCCCTAGGAAGGAGGAGGAGAAGGAGGAGGAGGAGGAGGAGGAGGAGGAGGAGGAGGAGAGGAGGAGGAGAAAGAGGAGGAGGAGGAGGAGGAGGAGGAGGAGGAGGAGGAGGAGGAGGAGGAGGAGGAGGAGGCCTTCTCAGGAGAACGCCCCCTCGCTGGCAAGACGGCGACCTGCTGCGGGCCACGCCGGCCGCGGCCCCCGAAGCGGCTGGCGTGGCCAAGGGCGGTTCCCGGGCCGGCGCTGGCCACGAGAGCCCCGCCGGGGCCGCAGCCCCGAGTTCGGGGAGCTCCGGGGCCAGAGGGGGGCCGCGGGCACAGCGCCCTGGGCAAGCAGCAGGCGGTACCCGGACACCCGAGGCAACCGTTCCTTGTTTCCGTGCGGGCCGCCTGGACGCTCCCCCACTCGGCGGAGAGCGCCGGGTGGAGGTGCGGAAGGGGCGGGCCTTCTCAGAGGGCTCGGAAGGCCCCCCGGCCTTCTGAGGAGTCTTCTGAGCTTCCCCCGAGGACACCGAAAACTGCTCAGAAGGCGCGAGGGAGAAGGAGGGGGGGGAGGAGGTGGAGGAGGAGGTGGAGGAGGGAGGAGGAGGAGGAGGAGGAGGAGGAGCGGAGGAGGAGGAGGAGGAGGAGGAGGAGGAGGAGGAGGAGGAGGAGGAGGAGAGGAGGAGGAGGAGGAGGAGGAGGAGGAGGAGGAGGAGGAGGAGGAGGAGGAGGAGGGGAAGGAGGAGGAGGAGGAGGAGGGCTTCTGAGACGCCCCGCTGCCTTCTGAGAAGGCCTTCTCTGTCCTGATTCCCCCCTCGCTCGCCGTTGATTCTCGTCCCGAGTCGTTCCTGAACGGTCCCAGGGCCCAGCGAGGGCCCCGGGCGGCCAGAAAGTGGGGAGACATCTCAGCATACTCATTATCGTCATCACCATCACCATCACCATCACCATCACCATCACCATCACCATCACCATCATCATCATCATCATCATCATCATCATCAGCAGCAGTAGCAGCAGCAGCAGCATCATCAGCATCATCATCAGCAGCAGCATCATCTTTATCATCGTCATCATCATCCTCATCATCGTCGTTGCCTGCCACCACCATCGTCATCAGCACCATGATCGCAAGCATCGTCAGTAGCGTCGCCGTCGACGTCATGATCTGCATGCGTTCAGAAAAACATGTGTCTTCAATCACCGCGGTCATCGGCAACATCACCTTCGCCATCATCATAAGTGCGATAACTGGCTGCGCGATGCACTACCCCTCGCGTGCAATCTTCGCCGTCGATATTTGGCGTATGTTTCGTCATGCATGTCGGCGGGTTCTCAAATTCGCCGTTGGGGTCAGGCGTGGGGGTCGGGCCTTTCTTGTTCCTGGAGTCCCATGCGACTCGCAAAAACTCTTGGCGGGGCGGGGGGGCAAGGGTGGTCCTTGCGCCCATCACGTCACTCAAAGTGTGGTCCAACCTCCACGATCGCAACGGCGTCTACTTCTCGCCACCGTCAGCACCGAAGTTACCACCGTCATGAACGATCGCGCTCGCAATGTTGCTGGGGGGGGGGGTCCGGAATCTTAAGGCGCCCCGCGCGGATGGGGGGGGTCCAGAAAACCATGTCGCGAAGGAGGGGGGGGCGGTTTTTCAGGGGGGGTCGATTATTCAGGGATCCAGACTCCAGACTATCATGTGCTGAACGCTCTGGAGGTCTGGGTCTGTCGCCGTCTTCCCAGCCCCCTGACTATCGAACCCAACCCGAAGTCCCGAATCTCGGGTTCGGGGGGCGTGCGGGGTCCATCCGTGCTTCGCACTGTCCCGGGATGCCCCCCACCACCGGGAATGGAGGGCGACTCGGGGCCTTCGGGTTGGGCTGGGGGTGGTGTTGGTGGGTCGTGGGGAAGGTGAGCGACGACAAGAGACGAGACCTGCGCGCCTGCGCCGTGGCTTACGCGGGGTCGCCTGCGCGGCACCCCGCGCGGGGCCGAGGGGCGCGTGTTCGCGCGGCCGTGCGCGGGAGCCTTCCGCACGAAGGCTGGCGCACAAAACCTGTTTTTTTCCGTCGCCCAGGTGGTGCGCGGCGGAAATGTGTCCATAGCCACCGCCCGTGGAACCGACGTGCTGGGACCCTCGCGGGCGGTGGATACGGATATGTGTATGTGTGTATGTGTATATATGAATCTATTTATATTTGAATCGGTATGTCTATATATCGATGTATATGTCTATGTTCGATATATATATATATGTATATCTGTACGTCTGTATATACTATACCTATATGCATATATATACATATATGTATATACATCGATCTATCTACCTATCTATATATATACATATATATATCGGTCTATATATCTATATATCAGTACATCGATATATATATATGTGTATATGTCTATGTATGTCTATATATATATAGACACATGGCTATATGTTAATGTATGTGTACGTATGTCTGTAACTCTCTATATATAGCTATATCGACCCGTGGGTGCCCGAATACCTCCATGCCCACCGCCTGCCGAGGCCCCCGAAGATCCACGGGGCGGTGGTCATGGACAAGCCCCCGCCTGGGAAGGTAGGCGACTCTGGAAACGCTGAGTCCAAAAATGTGGTGGCACCTCGCTCTTCTGGAGGCCTGGAAACGGGCACCATGAACACAGGACATTGCCCCCATCGGGGGAAGCTGATCATAGACTTCGGTGTTGGTGGTACTACCTCGGCCACTTACTCAGGAAGCCCGGATATTATCACCACCGCCGAGATCGGGGGCGAGCTCCTCCGGTGGAGGCACACCGCCGATATTGGTGTGGGGTGTGGGTGTCAACCTCCAGGCCTCTGGCTCCTGCTACCGACGTATTCCAGGAGCTGCGTACCCGCGCCAATGCACCCCCAGCTCTGCAGGATCCTGCAAGATCCGGCGCTCTGACTGATCCCCGGGAAGACGTGTAGGAGGAGGAGGGGGAGGAGGAGGAGGAGGAGGAGGAGGAGGAGGCGGAGGAGGAGGAGGGTGAAGAGGAGGAAGAGGAGGAGGAGGACGAGGAAGAGGAGGAGGAGGCCCCCCGTCTCTTGAGCCCCGACGCCTTCGGCCAAAACCCCCGCCGGCTTCCGCCAGCGCACCCGGGCGCAGCCGTGCGCTTCCGCTGGGCTCCGCAACGCAGGCGAGGGCGTGCCGGAGAGAGGCGAGGCCCTCGCACGGCACGCCGAGAGAAGGCTTCACGGAGAGAAATCGAGACTGTGGCTCGGCGGCGCGAGGCCTCCTCCTCCTCCTCCTCCTCCTCCTCCTCCCTCCTCCTCCTCCTCCTCCTCCTCCTCCTCCTCCTCCTCCTCCTCCTCCTCCTCCCTCCTCCCTCCTCCTCCCCCTCCTCCTCTCATCCTCTCCTCCTCCTCCTCCTCCTCCCTCCTCCTCCTCCTCCTCCTCCTCCTCCTCCTCCTCCTCCTCCTCCTCCTCCTCCCCCCTCGCGCCTTCTGAGAAGTTTTCGGTGCCTTCGGGGAAGGCTCGGAAGACTTCTCAGAAGGCCAGGGGACGTCCGAGCCTTCTGAGAAGGCGTTCTCCTCCTCACTTCTCCCCCTTGCTCGCCGCCGAGGCTCCCAATCCTCCGACGTTCGGAGTCTCTAGCACGCGGGCCCGGAACTCTCGAACCTGGCCCCCTCCCCAAAGACAAGCCCCGTGCTGTGCTTGGATAGCCCTGGCACGCCCCCCACACAAAAGCGCCCCCCCAGGAGGCCGAAGCCCGCGCACAAAACTCCGTCCCGATTTGTCCAAGACGTTCCCCGACTTCCGGAGGATTGATCTGCCAATCCGCGCGCCCCAAGACGTCTCGACCTCCTCCGTCGGGGGCGTAATTTCTTGACCCGGATCCACGTGTGGTGGCCCCCCGGGGCCCGATGTCGGCCCCCGGAGGCCGAAAAACGCGCACAGGAAGGCCCGGCGGGATGGGAAAAAGCAATCCGCCAGGAGACGGGGGCCAGTGGACTACCTACCAGACCACCCCAACCCAACCCGAAGACCCGACTTTCGGCTTGGGGGGAGGTACGGGTTCCACATGTGTTTTCTCGATGTTCCCCGACCCCCCCCCCACTGGAAACGGAGGGCAAATTGAGGCCTTCGGGTTGGGTTGGGGTGGTTTGGTGGGTGGTGACCAGTGGTCTGCGCCCTGCTTCCTCCTCCTGCTGCCGCACGAGCTTCTTCGCCGCCGTCATGCGCCCGCCGCCTCCGCCGCCTGAAGGCCGCCCAAAATCGAGCCGGCGCAGATGGGTCTGGAGGGCCGCGCCGCATCGCCGACGCATCGAAAACGTCGGGACGGAGAGGCCCAGGCTTGGGTCGGGCATGTCCTCCTACAGGCGGACTTTGGAAGAAAAGTGAAACATATTGAAAACATATTCGAACAAAGTCCAACGATAGTTGAAACATCGTCCCCTGGCTATTTCACGGTTCTTGAATCTTCCCCCTGAACGATGGACATGCCCGACTTCTGGAGGGCCGCCGCGCATCGCCGACGCGTCGGAGACGTCGGGACGGAACGGCGCAGGCTCCAGGCAGAGCGCGGACAAGATTTACAACATCCGCACGCATCCACCGCGGCTTCGTCCTCTCGGGAGGGGGTCCCCAAAAAGCATAGAGAAGTAGTGCATGTTGATAAAATGCGGCTTCGCTGGAGGCCAGATTTTGGAAGGGAGTCCGAAAATCCGAGACGCAGTGGACTTGTGTAAAAAGCTTGTCCGCACCCAGCCACCTCGCATATGCATCTGCGATGCACGGTACGGCGCGGTCCTCCGACATCGTCTGTTCCGATCCTGTTGGTCCGGTGCTGCCAGAGGTGTTCTCCTGGCCTGGGGTGCCCTCATGGGGCTTCAGTGTGAAGACCCCACGGCGTCCACAGCACTGGCGCAGCGTGTCCAATCTCCTGATCCTGCCCCTCCTTCCCCTCAACTCCTGGCGTTGCAATTTTTCAACTGGGCGTTTTCGCCAAAATTCGGGCCCCTGGACCCTCTTAGATCGATCCAGCTCAAATAATGGTGCAAAATGATAGGGTCTAGAGCTGCAGCCGTCATTTTGCATGATGTTGCATTGCTTTCACTACGTGGCATCTCTCTTTTTCTCCACAACTCAACAACCTCATCTTCGAATCAGCCACTGGCGTGCGAACACGGCACCGCAACGGCCAGATGCACGCGTCCGATTCCGAGAACCCTGAGCCCGACATGATGTTGACATATCGGATTCACTTCCGCCGCCTTTCTGTTTTCAGAGCCCTGCGCCCAACCACCGCCCCTCACCCACGCGCCCCCGCACCCAGGGAAACCAAGAGGGACCGATAGCGCTACTCCCTGGACCTCTCCCAGGGTGCGTTCTGACCAGGATCTCGAGGCGAATCCGGCGGTGGCGACGAGGGCCTCCAGGGAGGGCGACACAGGGGGGCAACGGGCGAAGGGTAGCGGTATGGGCAATTACCTTTTCCTCCTCCGAGGGGCAGACACCGCCCCCGCACCCACGCCCCCCCCGCACCCACGCCCCCCCTCCCGCACCCACGCCCCGCACCGGCGTCCGCCGCCTTCCGCCCGCTTCCGCGGGCGGGCCCGCCGCGAGTGTGCGTCCGCAGGCCTCCGCCGGGAGCGAGGCGGCGCCGAAGGCGAGGCCCTGCCCTGAGGCACCCCACGCGTCACGGAGGACCTCTTCAGGGCGGTGCGCAGGTCACGGGGTACAGGGTGGAGACAAGTCCACGAGAGAGACCTTCCACGAGAAGCCCAGCCCTGGGGCCCCGATGGTTGGTGCGGGAACGCCACGCCTCACATGGATTGTTGGTGTGTGAACGTAACGCCTTACATCGCAAAACCATCGAAACCCAACAAACCCAGGGCACCCTGGAGGCAAGCAGGGTGTTTCTTGGCATGGCCCCCCCCCCTGTACCTCTTAGAGGCCTTGTGGGATACGAACGTAGACAGTATACACATACGATAAGACATCCTGCTATAAGAAATCGTTGGGGCGTTCTTCTGCCACTTCGGAAGGTCCTACGGTGCCCCAGAGCTTCCATAGGTTCCTGAGTCCATAGGCTCATTGCCGAGGGGCACCTGCTTGCTTCCTGATTTGATGCGCCCACTATATCTAGCAACCAGAAAGGCGCCAAACGCCCGGCTTCCGCAGAAGACGAGACACGCAGAAGACGAGGCCCTTAATGGAACACCTCATATGTCAAGGAATACCTATTGGAGGCGGTGCCAGACATAAACTTCGGCACAGTAGACACATAATCATAAGGTGAGAAGTCTTGATATAAGAAATATTGGGGCATGCTCTGCGGCCACCTTTGAGGCTCCGAAAGTGGCTTAGAGCTTCTGCAGGTCCCTGGGTCCACTGGGGACAAGCAATTTGTTGCCCTGGGCTCCTGCACGCAGGTGGGTTCCTGATTGAATGTGCCCGCTGCAACCCAGAAACCACCACGGCGCCCAACGCCAGGGGCACCACGGACCGGGCACTCACAGGTGATCCTTCGCCTCCCACGAGTTCCACTGAAGAGAAATCAGGCCGCCCAGAAAAAAGGATAACTCGGGGATACATCGTCTGGGGGCTATCCGACGCACCCCAGATCGAGGAGGGAGGAACGCCGCCCCCTCATCTTGTATGCCCGAATCTGGTCCCAAATTCTGCGTCCGTTCGGAAAAACTACGAAGTCGGAGATACAGTCAAGTCGCATGATTATTGGTTCAAGGAGCTTTCGTTCGGAGGTGTGTTTCCCATCTTTTATTGTGCGTGATGTGTGTTGTGCTTGTGCGTGTGTTTCGTGCCACGAGTCTCCATGAACTATAGTTGTTTTGCGAAGGAGGGTCTTTTGGGCTGTGTGGTACTGGTTTGGTTGTTCGTGCTCAGACTCTTCAGCGTAGGGCGCGGTTTTGACCCTCACCGCCCCACGCCCTGCTCCTTGGGCCGCGGCGTCGGGTCGAGACTCGCCATCTCGACCGGCGCGTCCACAGACCGCCGAGTCGGAAAGGAGCTACTGTGCCTCGTTTAGCGCGCTTGTGATTATGTAGACCCATGGATGCCCAGGCCGCCCGGCCGGGTCGTGGGGCAACGGGCCGGCTACATAGGATGGAGACTAGTCCATGGTTTTCAGAAATGCTGCGCGAGCCGGCACGGCAAACCCCTGCAGTGCACAGCGGATGGACTCCGACTCCGCTGTGCGCATTGTGCCCTGGGTCGTTCGTTCCTTTTGTTCTTGCTCGTGTCTCCTGCCAGGGCGGGAGGGCATCACTCGACAGTCCCTGGGCCGGGGGCGGTTGATGTCTTCGGGCATCTCCCCTGGCCACACACTAGTCGTTAGCGCTGGGGGGCGCCTGACCACCGCACCCTGGTGTAGGTGGAGCGCGGGTTTCTGTGCGGCGCGCTGCCGGTCCTAAGGTGTCGACCTTACATGTTTTGGCCAGGCGACCAGGGACGCCAGTGGCTACCGAGCAGTTTGGAAACGTTTGGTTCTTCTGGCATTTCTCGGAGGGTGGGTGGGGGAACTTTGGCGGGCTTCGAGCGTAATCCTGTAATTCGCCGAGCTGCGAGCTGTGCGTGCCCGTGTTCTCGCTTGGTTGCTTGTGCCGCCTTCGCCTTCGGGCCGCCCGCTGCGCCGGGGTCCGGTCTTGCACCGGGCCTCTTTGGGTGGGGGTCTTGCACCCTGTTGGCATGTGATGCAACCTCGGAGGACCCAGGCCGCTTGCGAACCGTATGGCAGGGAACGTCGCATGGACGGAGAGTCGCGTAAAGGGATACGCACTGTGCGTGTATGTACATTGTGTATGGTACCGTTGAGTGTACTACGCTATTATGTTGTGTACGTTGTCTGGGATGAGTGTGTGTGGGACGCTATTATGTTGTGTACGTTGTCCGGGATCTGGCGGGTTTCGAGCGTAATCCTGTATTTCGCCAAGCTGCGAGCTGTGCGTGCCCGTGTTCTCGCTTGGTTGCTTGTGCCGCCTTCGCCTTCGGGCCGCCCGCTGCGCCGGGGTCCGGTCTTGCACCGGGCCTCTTTGGGTGGGGGTCTTGCACCCTGTTGGCATGTGATGCAACCTCGGAGGATCCAGGCCGCTTGCGAACCGTATGGGAGGGCACGTCGCATGGACGGGGAGTCGCATAAACGGATACGCACTGTGCGTGTATGTACATTGTGTATGGTACCGTGTGTTGTGTTGTGCGTACTCTTAAACGGATACGCACTGTGCGTGCATGTACATTGTGTATGGTACCGTGTGTTGTGTTGTGCGTACTCATGAGTGTACTCTGTGCGTACTCATGGGTGTGTGTGGTACGCGATTATGTTGTGTACACTGTCTGGGATGTACGGGCGCACGGTGATCCCAACCGCTTTTTCAAGGGGGAACCGCCCACCATTTGGACCCTGCGCAAACGAGTGTTCGGGTGTCCCTGTGGCCCGCTACGGGATATCCTCTCCTCCCCGGCTCCCCCTCCCCCTCCTGCCCCTTCCTCCCCCTTCCTGCTCCGCCTCCCCCTTCCTCCTGGCGGGTATCTCGTGTCGGCCTCTGCGCTTCGTCTTCTGATAGGTCGGCGGGGGCCGCCGTCCGGGCGTGCATACCCCCCAACAACAACAACAACAACAACAACAACAACAACAACAACAACAACAACAACAACAACAACAACAACAACAAGGATGTGCAGTAAGGATGCAAGGGCCTTGGAAGGCCATGCTGACGTTTCGCGAACGGGGCTGGCCAGCAAAAGCTGGCGAGGACGGGCAAAAAGGGCAAGGCGACAAGGGGCACCCTTGGAAAGCTGCTCATCCTTACTGTGCGACCTGACTGCAAAGGCCGATATGAGAGGCCTCCTAGATGGGGTCGGAGCAGATGGGGTCGGAGGATCGCGCCCCATCGCCGATGCATGGGCGATACACTGGCGCCGCCGGCGTGGCGAAAATCGGGCTCCGCATCGAGCTGCATCGCAGATGCATCGCCTATGCGGCGCGATCCTCCGACCCCATCTACTCGGACCCCATCTGGGAGGCCTAGAGTTAGGTCGGGCACGTCCTCCTACAGGCGAATGCGGGTGGACAAATAATTTATACTCAAAACATGTCCAGACATAGTCAAACAAATAATGAACAAACAACTGCCCCCCGACTATTTCTCCTATCTTTGAACGTTCCCCCTGACTTTTGAGCCTGGAGGCGCATCCCCTGCCAGGCACTGAGGGGCAACGATAGGGGGGGGGGACTGGCACCGGGGGGGATGCATCGACCTGGACTCGGCGATGCATTGCCGATGGGTCGGCGACGGGCCTCTGATAGTTAGTCCGCACCTTCCTGGGCAGGCTGGGGCCATCGGGCCCCGATCGGCGATCAGTGGGCGGTTGGGGGTCGATGCATCCCCCCTATGCTTATGTCGGGCGTCTCCCCCTACAGGGGGATTTTCGACGAAAAATTAATACAAAAAAAAAGGTAAACACATATTTAAAAGATAGTCCCCAAACAATTTTTGGATTTTTTTTAATAATATTTTGGGTTGTTTTTACGTTTCGTCGAAAACCCCCCTGTAGGGGGACAGGCCCGACCTAACCCTATGCCCATCCCCCCCCTACCGCTGCCCCTGCGGCACACCTCTGGCAGCATCCCGCGGCCCCGGGGGGCGGCCTGGGCCGCCGCCCCTCCCGAAGCCCCTGCCTCGCCCGTCGCGCCCGGGCTCCTCCTCCGCGGCACCGCGCCGCCGCCGGCCGCCGCCACCGCCGCGTCCCCGCTGCGTGCGCGGCTGGCTGCTCGCGTTACGTCGGGCCTGTCCCCCTGCAGGGGGATTTTGGAAGAAAAATGCAAAATATTTTTTGTTGGAAAAAACATTCAAAAGATGACCAAAAATACTTTTAAAATAGCCCCCAGACTACGTTTTGACTATTTCGGAATATTCCTCCTGCAGAGGGACCCGCCCGACTTACTGCTCGCGGCGTCCCGCCGGTGGGTTAGATCGGGCCCGCGGCAAGAGAGGGTGGCCCAAGTGGGGGGCGAAGAGAAGTGCCCCAAAGGGGCCCTTCAGGGCTCCTCTTGGAGCCAGCCAGCTCCCCGTCGCTCCGACGTCCATTCCATGTGTTTTTTTCGGTTTCGTGCTTGGTTTCTTCGCTGTTTGATCCAGGATGCTCCTCGATAATCCCCGCCGAGAAAAAGTGCACATGTCCGAGCGATACCAAGCTAGTGCCCCAAAGGGGCTCCAAAGGCACCTTTCGGGCCTCCGCGGTCGCGCCACCGCCGGCCGCCGCCGCCGCCGCCTGTCTCCGCTGCGTCTGCGCTGGTTTCAGCGGCCCTCTGGCAGGGACTCCACCAACGGGTACTTTGACTAGTTACCCGGCGAAATCAGTCCTTTCCATGGGCAGCGCTGCAATGCCAGAAAGAGGCCCTCAATGGCAACCTTCGGCAACTTTCCAGGGTATCCAAATGTAAATACTCGTTACGGGTCTGCTGATGGTTGCTCGCGGATTCTCGCTGGTGGGTTAGATAGGGAATCACGGAAGGTCTCGATCGGCTTGCACTGAATGCAGACATCTGCGACTGGCGCCCAAGAGACCTCACTGGCGCTCAAAAGCGCCAGAGAGCATGGAAGGGACCAATAGCACCCACATGGCGCCACATAGCGCCCAATGGCGACTTGTGGGGGAGATGCATGATTAGGGGGAGATGCATACTTAGGAGGAGATGCAACGTTAGACGCGCTAGTGGACGCTCTACTAGGCGCCATGGGGACGCCCACAGGCTTCGGTGAGATGCTTTCTGGCGATGAGGGTGACGTGGGTCTTGCGGGGCCTCTGGCAGTTGCCCCTCTCGCCCTCCCCCCTCCTCTCTGCCCCGTGCTTTTGAGCCACCTGCATGCCATGTCTCGGGCCTCCCGCGGACCTCCGCCCCCGAAGCTGCCGTGCCTCTCTTCAACAGAAGACCACGAGACGGCGCCATCAGCCAGCGCCCGCCGCCGCCTCTGGAGGAGCCCTGGGACACACAAATAAATACGCACACATACGTAACAGGATCCCCCATATGCTTCCATATGTTCTGGGTTTTTCTCTTCCCCCCCCCCACTTCCCATACTTTCCAATATATTCCCTCCTCCTCCTCCTCCTCGCCCTCCCCCTCCTGCTCCTCCTCCTCCTCCTCCCCATCCTCCTCCTTCTCCTCCTCCTCCTCCTCCTCCTCCTCCTCCTCCTCCTCCTCCTCTGTGTGTTTTGTTCCCTCCTGAGCTCCACGCCTCCGCCCCCCCCCACCCCACCCCACGCCTCATCCCCAGGGGCACCGCGCGGCCCCACCGGCAGCCCCGCCGTGGCCCCGAAATGTGGTGGAGCCTGCCGTTTTGTTGGGGGCGTTCGAGGAGGGGGAGGAGGTGGAGGAGGGGGGGGGAGGAGGAGGAGGAGGAGGAGGAGAGGAGGAGGAGAGGAGGAGGAGGAGGAGGAGGAGGAGGAGGAGGAGGAGGAGGAGGAGGATGAGGAGGAGGAGGAGGAGGAGGAGGGGAAGGAAGAGGAGGAGGAGGAGGAGGAGGAGGAGGAGGAGGAGGAGGAGGGAGGAGGAGGAGGAGGAGGAGGAGAGGGGGAGGAGGAGGAGGAGGAGGAGGAGGAGGAGGAGGAGGAGGTCCGTAGCCATTTTGGCTCAAGGGGCCTGCTCCTTAACTTCCCAACCCTGGCTCGAATAGCCAAGTGTGCTGTGCGGGGGGCCACGGCCTCACCCTTCGGGCGGCGTGCGGGGGCGCGCTATGCCAGCGCATGGTTCTCGGGCTGGGAATTGGTGTTGTGGGGCGTGCGGGTGCAAAGCGAACAAGTACTGGTGGACGTGGTGCAAGCACTGCGGGCGCCAGTGGACAGGAGTCGGGGAGTATCAAGATAACCAGTCGGGTGCCAAGGGAGTGTGGGGTGCACGTCAGTCTGCTCTTCCTGGTGTTGGGGATCTGGTCTCTGCTCCTGGGACTTGGTCGACATCTAACAATCGTTCGTCAGGAACTCCAGGGAGTACCAAGGGCGAACTCAACTCGGTCATCCAGCTTCTCGAGGCCAATTCAGACTTCGAGGCTGCCAGCAAGGATCGTGAGAAGCTTCGTGCCCTCGAGCAGCCGCCGAAGCTGCAGTGGGGGCCTGCGAAGCAGGAGATGGAGGTGCCAGACCGCTTTGGATCGAGCAGTCAACAGAGCCACGAATCTGCAGGAGTCATTGGAGCAAGCGAAGAAGGACAGTGCCGACGTCTTTGTGGCCCTCGAGAGGGCCAAGGAGCAGTACGCCACAGCTGTCAGAGAGCTCGCCTCCACAGTCCAGCAGCCCCAGGAGCCCCAGCAGCCCCCTCAGCCAGTCAAGCCAGTACTATCCCTGGAGTCTCTCATGGACGGGTGTCTTGAAGGCGTTCAGTTGGATGACAGCGGCCTTTTTGGGCTGGAGGAGGCGGGATGGGAGCCCTCGGCGGAGGAGGTGGAGGAGGCGAAGAAGAGGAAGGGGCACCTGGCTAAAATCTTTAAGGAGGCACCGCTGCAGGCTTTTGGGCCCTTTCGGGAGCAGGCCAAGGATGCCATTAACCAGCAAAAAGAACTCAAAGCGAGGCTTGCAGCAAAGAGGCGTCGCACTGAGGAGGGGTTTACAGCTGGCGGTGATGATGGCGATGCTCCTGGGGGCTCTGTGGGTCAGCAGCAGCAGCAGCGTCAGCAGCCAGCTCAGTCAGCCTCAGCAGCCGCAGCAGCAGCAGCAGCACCTCAGCCGGCAGCAGCAGGCAACACTTCTTCCGATTCGAGCCCTGGGCCTCCCCCCAAGTCCACAGAGGAACTGCGCGCGGCAGCTAATGCTGCTGCCAGCACAGGGGGGGCCTGCAGGAGGAGGAGGCAGCAACGGAGGTTTGGCGCCCACAACCGTGCAGGCGGCTCAGAACGCAGGAATGCGAGGGTAGCAGGGACGGGCTGGCTCGGCCCGATGCGTGCACGGTCCTGACGGCCAACACTTCAGATTGGTGTAGCTGTCAGAAGTTCTTGGAGAAGGAGGCGGCAGGCGCTGCCGTTGTTTTGTTGCAGGAAGTGGGAGTGCACCCCTCCGCCAAGGATGAGAAGGAGGCTAAGGTTAAGAGCTGGTCGTGGTCAGCCATGTTTAGTCCTAGCCGAATCACTGAGGCGGGGGGGTTGTTATCATCAGGTGTAGGCATTGCTGCTCCAGTTCATGTTGGGATGTCTGCCTCTCCGTGGAAAGGAAAGCCCTTGCCATCGGCCCCGAGGATCACGATGGCATGGGTTAACAGTATCGTCCCAGGGGGGGTCCTCGCTGTCTCGCTGCACTTGCCTACAGGGGACCCTCTGGGAGATGTCGGTTCGCAGGTCTTGTTTCGATTGGGAGAAGTGCTTCACTCTTTGCGTCTACCGTTTGTGGTTGGCGGAGACTGGAACTGCCCACCTTCGCAGCTCAGAACGTTTGGCTGGGTTAGCAAAGTGGGAGGACATATTGCAGCATGCGGGGTTGCCACGTGCAGGAAAGGACATGCTTGGAGGGAGCTTGACTTTTTCGTGGTCTCGTCTGGTCTAGCCCCATCTATCGAACGAGCTGAACGAGTGCAGGGCTCATGCCTTGCACCTCATTACCCAGTTGCCTTGCGGTTGCGATCACATCTTGTACGCACTGAGTATCTGGCGCTGGCAGGCCCCAGGAGGTTCCCAACTCAGGCTCCGCAGTTGCCCATGCCTGCCCCGCCTGACTGGGGGCCCGTTGAGGATGCTATTCTTCGCTGGGGAGAGGACGCGACACATCCGAGCGAGCGCTGTGGGCAGGAAGCTATGGATCAAGTTTGCCAGATGTTCTATGATCTCGTGGGGACGGAACTCATTTCGGTCCATGGGCTCCAGGGCCCAGATGAGAGGAAGCATCGCGGTTGGGGACAAGGCTGGAAGTTGCGCAGGGTGCAGGAGCTGCAGACTTCAGGAGGCCCGTATGCTCTACATTGTGCTAAGGCTCGTGGGTGGAGGAAGGTCTCGATTAGATTTCAGGAGCTGGCTTGCATTGTTCGTCAGGCGGAAGGTCTTTTCCCACAGCATTGCATGCAACTGATTTCTAAGATCTTGGGCAGTCGGCCGCCTGGCAAAGAGGTTGACGTCTGGAGACGTTGGCGCCCGTCGTTCGAAGGCATTCTGGCTCTGACAGATGGGCAGCTGGATGAGCATTCGAGAGGGGCAGCCTACTTCGCATCCTTGCTGGAGCAGGCCTTTGCGAGGGCCCGCTGCGCAGCTTGGAGGAGGTGGGTTGCAGAAGCATGTGGGCACGGAGCGGGAAAAGCCCACCGTTTCACGAAACCACCCGTGGGATGGAAACCGTCGGCGCCAGGACCCGACGGGGCCCCTATGGGCTTCGGTGAGCAAGTCGAGGCGTTGCAGCATGCGTGGAGTGAGATCTGGGGAGCATCGGCGCCCGTGGAGGACGTGGTCGAGGATTCCGCCGAAGAGAAGCTCGACCCACTCAAGTGCCTGTCCCCCATGCTGGAGAGGGGCGGCATCGATCCGCAAGAGGCCGCCAGCATCCCGCCATTTGACTGCCACACCGTCCGCAAGGTGGCAAGGACCTTCAAAGAGCGGACTGCTGTCGGGGCAGGCAAGTTGAGCCCTCGTGATCTCGTGTATTTGCCTGACCGCCGCCTCACAATCTTGGGCTTACTGTGGCACTGGATGCTTGACACAGGCAGACTTCCGTCTCAGGTTTCCTTGATTATGATTGCAATGATCGGGAAGCCCGAGGGCGGATTTCGGCCCATTGGTCTCCTTTCCACCATTGTGCGAGTGCGGGGGCGCTGTGCCAGATCTGTAGCTCGTGAATGGGAGAATAAGAATAAGCGTGACTTCTTTTATGGAAGCGCAGGCATGTCTTGTGAACGTGGGGTCTGGGAGCAGGCCTTTACTGCAGAGCATGCTCGGATTGCGAACACTTGTGCAGGTACGGGCCTCCTCGACTTAGCCAAGGCGTACGAGAGAGTGTTGTATGGGCATTTGATCGATGCGGCCCAAATGACGAACTTCCCTTTAGACATCTTACGCTTGTTGCTGTGTGTATACCGCTGCCCTCGTCTTCTCGTGGTTGGCCAGGTCGCATCTGCACCAGTAATGACAGAACAAACGATTGTTGCAGGGTGTACTTTCGCCACGGCGCTTCTGCAAATGTTGTTGATTCGCATGTTGGACTGCGTGATGGCCAAATGTCCCTTTGCACGTGTGTACAATGTGGCTGATGACATCACGGTTCGTGTTCGCGGTAGCAGGAAGTTTGTGCGTGACATGTTGCCTATCGTCGTCGGATTCACCTGCAGGAAGCTGGAGGAGTTGGACCTTGTTCTGGCCAGGGCTAATGGCAAAATCGTGTCGACTCACAAAGATGCGGTTCAGAGTTCCGAGAGAGCCCTGGCCAGGTGGGGGTTCACTGGAGCCTCGGTGGCGAAAAATCTTGGAGTGGATTTCACCATGGGAAAGGCCCGAAGGAACCCCGTCCAGAAGGCCCGAGTGGCCAAGCTCAAGCGTAGGGCCCACCGTTTCCGGGGGCTGAGATCGTCCTTCAAGAAGTTGACCAGGACCGTGCGCGCAGGTGCCAACCCAGCTGGACTCTACGGGGCCTCGGTCACTGGAGTGTCGGACAGGTCCCTCCAGCAGCTGCGCTCGGTGGCGGGCGAGGCGGTGTTCGGGCAGGCCCAGGGCAGGAGTCGCACGATTGGTTTCATGTCGTCGCCGACGCCGCTGGCCGACCCAGCGTATGTTGCGAACTCCGCCCCCCTGATGTCTTGGGCGAATGCGGTACATCTGGGCTGGGCTCCGCATGATGAGATGAAAGTTGTATTCGAAGGACTTTGCCAGACGGAACTAGGTTGGCAGCAAGTCACAGGCCCTGCGGGGGCCATGTTGATGACCTTGAGACGTCTTGGGTGGCAACCTAGGAGATGGGACTGCTGGGAAACGGACACTGGTCTCTGTCTGGATCTACAAGCATACGGGAATCGGACGGTGAAAACGATTGTGGACGATGGCACGAAGGACATGCTCCTTCGCGACCTGACCATTAGTGATGAGGCAGTAGGAAGCGATGCCCCCTTTCGCCCTTGCTTAGAGCCTTTGCAAGAGGTGTGCCAAGATTTCCGCGCCTCAGGTAAAGGCCTTGAAGCCTCTCTCCTCGCCGCTGTGGCGTCGGGAGGCATGGCTGCCCAGGTTGACCTGTTCCTGGATAGGCGCTCTGCCTCCGCTGAGTGCCAGATTTGTGGGCATCCTTGGGAATGTAAGAAGCATCGATGCCATGTCTGCCCTGCTTTCCACGGGCACCGCCAGACCCTAGGGTTTCAGCGTCTCGTTCAAGCGGGGTCCACCGCCACGGACCCGAGATGGCGCCTGTTTTACACTAGAGGTCTGATGGCGTCGCCCATTAGTTACACACCAAGCCCGATAGTACAGCAGGGGTGGCAGTGGCATGTTTTCCCTAGGCATGGGTTTCTGGAAGGAATCATCTGCTTGGATGGCTCAGCGATTGACCCTCGCCTGCCGTGGTGGTCTGGCGCCGGCTGGGCGGCAGTCTCGGTCGATCGGCAAGGCACGATTCTGGGGAGCCTGTACGGCCCCTTCCCACACCCGCTGCAGACCAACCTCGGCGGGGAGTTGTGGGCTCTCTATATGGCTCTGAAGCTAGCAGAGGCTGGCCCTTTAGAGATCTGGACAGATTGTAAAGTGTTGCTTGATGTGTGGAGCTTTGGCCCAGACCAGGACGTCTCGAGGTTCGCGTTTGGTGAGGTCTGGGTTGAGGTCTTGGCCAAAGCTCGCGATATTGGATGGGACAACATCCAGATGTGTAAGATCAAGTCTCACCTTTCGTATAATCATGCTGTTGCTAGGAACTATCCCTTCTACGCCCGGCGGGGCAATCGTGAGGCCGACCGCTTGGCGCGTGAAGGAACCCAGCACCAGGCTCAGCCCGAGGCTGAGAGGAACTGGTACAAGACGGTCGCCCTTGGAATAATGCAAGTCGGTCGTTTTCTCGGACTGATGTTGGGTGGCTCAAGGATGTGGAGAGGTATCGTGCCCCCAAGTCCACGAGGCTCGCCAGAGACGCCCCACAGCTCCAATTAGTTGCAGACCCCAACGGACACACGATCTGTAGAGC